TATATATATATATATATCAAATAACCTAAATAAATAAACACATACATATTAGTAAATTTCTATGTATTTATATATCTAATACCTAAACTTCAATGTTTATATATATTTCATCGAATATATGGCAATGAGCAATAGTCATAATTTTTAATATGACTTGAAAGATTTGGATGGTGTAAATATATATAAAAAAAAAAATTAGGTGTTGATATGCAAATATATAATATTAGGATGGTATATATATAAATGCCTCATTTTTTAGCATTATTTTATATATAATATTAGGATGGTAATATTAAGAGTCCATTTATTGATTTGTTGAAAATAAAAAATTTCTAAATTAGACTCAATCTTTACTATTAAGACTTAGGAGCAATATTGATGATTTTAAATACTAGATTATTAAATGAACAAATTTAGATATCTTGTTGTTTCATTTGATTATGATCGTGAATAATATCATCTAAAGCTCATGAACATGCTCGTTAAGATGCTCTATTAAAGCTAAATATTGCCTTAAAGCTTAATACAAATTTTAAGTAAAATTATAATTAATTCAAATAAAATAAGATTCAAAATTAATTTAAAATTAAGATATTTTTTATATTATTAATTTAAAAATAATTAAATTAGCTAAAATTTCTAGGGAAAAAAAAACATTGTTATTTGAGAGAAAGTAAAACTGAAGTATAGAAAAGCAAAAACATTTTATATTTACATTTGATTGATTGCACTTTGGCCCATCCTGTTCAGCCATTCCTACTTGGCTGATACTCTTCTGAGTTTGGTATAATTGGTTAATTGTCTTCGCCATCTTTATTTATGCCTATTTTCTTATCAGGCTTAGACCGGGAGAAGACACATTTAGGTGAGTTCCTACTCCTGCCGGTTTGCATAGGAGCTTTTTGGTATACATATTTTGTTCATCAAATCTTTCGTCTCTTAAAAAATTGTACTTTAATAAGAATAAGAGAATTAACTGCATTAAGTAATTATGTGATTTAAATGACACTTATGGCATGGATACTCCCTTAAATTCTGAGTCCTAGTTCTTATGAATAAATTGATGAGACATATGTTTAGACTACTCGCATTTCAGCCCCTTCTCTTTGCTCTTTAATTCATTCGCTTTTGTTTACTTCGTATGTCGAGGGGGGATCTCAATTGTTCGAATACTAACATTCTGGACAAGGATTTGTATCAGCCATGTTCACTAAATGAAAGCAGATAAGCGGTCAGGAGGGCACAAGGTGGTGGTGAAGCAGAAGAAGGGAGCTTCAACTTTTGACCAAGGGGAAACACCAAACATGACTCATGTATGAGCTACAGTTGAGGTGAACGTTGTTGAGATCAACTCACCAATGGGTAATACGACTAATGATCTACCCTCGCAGATGAATGCCCAGATGCTCGTAGCGGCACTCAGTCTTGAGGGTATGGTAGACGAAGACAAGTCCCTTACAATTTCAAAAATATTAGGCAATGAAGATCGATTAGTATATAAGAATTTTTTTTTTTGCTTTATGTACATCAGGAAGAAAAAATATGCTTTACTTTTACTTTCCCTATTTTTTTGTAGTGTCTTACTTATAGTGAACTTTATGACTCTAACTGCACAAAAAGAATGCTGGTTGAATGAGCCTGAGGCCCTGAAAGTTATGTCGGATACTTCAGCGGGAAGAGAAGATCAAGTGATCTAAGAGTAGGTAAGCTTTTTCCCAAAGAGGTTCATCCAACTGCAACATATGGATGTCCTTAGAAGGAGAAGAAGAGAGTCAGATGGGATCATGAGATAGTGACGCTTCCCCTTCTCCTTCCCTGGAGAGATAAGAGTCCTACCAGTGAACCTTTTAAAATTTCTCTTGTTGTGGATGTGTCCATGCAAGCAGAAAAAACTGAACAAATCAAAGTAAGAAATCGTTAAACTGAAGAGGTTGGTTTTTGCTTGTAAAGTGAACTGTGGGATGTGAAGGATAAGTACCCGGTATTCTAGAATCAAGTTGAGTTCAACTGTCTGAGTCGGTTCAAGGGTGGAGGGGAGTTTCTGCTTTAGAGGCTCATTTAGCTTGGTCATCTTCCTGCTGAGATTGTTACTGACCCTTATGCAGGGATTTTTTTCTTGCCTTGATTCATTGTATTTGTCTGCACTCCCGATATAGAATCATTTGCAATGACTTTTAATGTTAAATTGAATAAAAAAATTATTTTGTCGCTTTGGTTATCATGATGACTTAATCGAATCTTCTGTAATGAGTTGAATAGGTTTTTGACACTTCCATTCATTTAAGAATGGCAAAGAAAGAGAAAATGACAAATATATTGTATGATGACGAATTGCTCATTTACCAAGACCAATTCGGACTTGAACTCCAATTGCCACTTTACCGAGAGCTAGTGGCTATATTCAATTTTCATGGCTAGCTCAAGTGATGTCAAATTTCTTCGTTGATATTATGAC